GGATTTCTCACACCCAGGCATGTGCAAGCCAGTTTTTGTAATTTAGCGTAATCATCTGCTCCTGGGCAGAAACCAGGTGTGTGGCTTTTACAGTTTCAGGAAGGTTGGTAGTGGCTAGTGTGAACACAAACTTAATTGGCACTGCCCCTAGTTGTGCAGTGTCCCCTGTCTGATGGCATTTGTTAGGGTTCCTCTCTGACCGGCTTGCATTTTACAACACTAGTGACATCAACAGTGAGGAAAAAGTCTCACAGAAGAGAAGTCTTCAACATCTCAATGGTGTGGGTTCATAGGAATCAGTATTCTGTGCAAATAGGAGCAGGCCCATTTGAAATAAATGTTCCTCAACCAGTTCTATTTTCTGTGCATTGTAATTTTAGATGTGTTTGACATACTTTTGTGTATCATTTGCCAGCATATTCTCAGATTCTGTCCATTTCAACCTGTTTAAAAAATACAAATATGAACACAATTGCTTGATCCTTGGGTTTCAGCACATTGACCTGCTCTTCCTGCACGGCTGGCTTCCTGCTCTTAGGACTCACTGGTGTCGGGCTCGCCTCCTTCCACAAGCCCAGCTTGGCCAGTTCTGCTCCGGGCCTCTCTTCCTGCTCAGGAGACCACATCTCCTTTTCCAGGTCCTTGCATAAGATGAATGTGCTATTCCTGGGGTGTGTGTGTATGTGTGTGTGATGCAGTACTGGGAACTGAACCCAGGGCCTCTGCACTAAGCTCCAGTCCCAGCCCCTTTTTTGAGATGAGGATCTCACTAAATCATTAAGTTGCCCTGGCCAGGCCCAAATTTACAATCTTCCTACTTTGGCCTCCCAGAGGGCTGAGATTGCAGGCATGTACCACTGTACCTAGCTCTGATGAGTTTGTATTTTCAAGACCCAGCCAAAAAAAAAGAAAAAAGAAATATATTAAGTCAAACCATTTCAAATTGCTATTTTTGTTGGTTAAAATAACATTACCAACTAAAAAGAATTTCGTATGGTGTAACTTCTTAAAGACCATCCAAAGGTTGGTGAGTGGCAGGTCATTTACCTGGGCCTTTGTGTGGGAAGGGTCGGTGAAGCTGCCCTTCCTGACGTGGAGGCTGCATTCTGTGCAGCTGCCTTGTTCCTGGGCTGCAGCAGGCAGGGTTGCCCCTGGAGAAGGACGGTGAGGTCCCTGAGGGGAGGCTTGTCTTCCCATTGAAGGAATCAGAACTGAACCCAACTGTGTACTCTACGTTCTTGTCAGATTGCTGTCTCTGTAGTAGTCAGGTCATTCCTAAACTAACATTATTCTAAGGTTTTCTGTTTTTGCTGTTGTCTGTTTGTTTGCTATACTCGTGTACTAAAAGTTTCAGTATTCTTCTGCAAGTCTTTCTCACTCTTCTGACTACTTTGACCTAGCAATCTTATTGCACAACGAATCTTTTTTTGTTGTTGTTAATTTATGTATTTATTGAATACATGGTCTAACTGTGCAGTTCAGACTTGTAATGATCCTCCTGTCTCAGTCTCCCCAACACTGGGATTATAGGCATGCACCACCATGCCCAGTTTCGGGGCAGCACAGCATGTTATACCAGGGATCGAACTAGGGACCCTGCGCTTACCAGGCGTTTATGCCTCCAAGCTATCCCCCGCCCTGCGAATCATTTTGAAGAAGGTCACTTTCTCCCTGTAAATTTCTTGTGAAGGTTAGCTTTGTGTTTGTTTTCCCCCAACAAATGCTTATCTAATGCAACCCTGATTCTTAAACTTCATCTTTACTTCCTGTTTCTTACATCATGAAATAGTACTTAAACTTTTTCCTCTCCACTCCCTGACCTCTAACTTGGTGTATTAAACGTGTCAGTTGCTTACAGTGGATTTAGAGGTCTTTCTCAGTAGTAGTGAGAATGGGAAAAGTAGTCATTGCCCTGAGCACTTTTTCACAGTGAGCTCCAGAGGAGCAGACCTGCAGAATACTGAGCAGAACTCAGGTACAGAGTGAGTGTGGACACACCCTGCGCTCTCCCATCTCTGAGCCCTCTGGCTGAGATTATCTCAGCGGTGTGGCTGGATGATGAAGCCCCCAGAGAACATAGAATGGGGCTGCTGACCCCAGGCCACTGAACTTGGGCCTGGGTTTGAACCTCTGCCACTACCAGGTGTCAGCAGGCATCCCAGGCAGGACAGAGTGCTGGCCACTGACCATGGCTTTATGCACGGTGGAACCAGCTGGTCCTTACTGGGCTGTCTCACAGAGGATGGCTCTCACTAGATGAGCTCTGAGTTTTTCTTCTTAAAGTAACTGAAATGTTCCCTTTTAAGTGAAATATTTAACACTTTAATAATTCCTTCGTCATAGCTATTAGCTTAGCTGTGAAATCCAGTTGCATGGCAGCAATAAAAATCTGCATTTCTACACCTCTGGCTACAAGTGTGTTGTGATTTGCACTACAGGACCTCAGAAAGAATTCATGTTCTCATATTTGTGTGTCTCCATGGAACCCCTCATTTCTAAAGGGCTTCTCACAAAAACCTGCCAGAGAGTTCAAGGAAAGGCTTTGGGGAAGGGGTGAATTAATTGCCAGGGAGTCCTAGAAGACCATCTCAGTGGGGTC